CATACTTCAGCGATTGGCCGCCGAACGCTCTCTGATAAATTTTACCCTCGCTCGTTCGGCTGAAGGGCATTCCGTAATGTTCCAGCTCAATGACTGCGTGCGGGGCTTCGCGGGTCATGTAATGAATCGCATCTTGGTCCCCCAACCAATCAGATCCTGGAATGGAAACGTCATGAATCCGTCTCATCACATGGATTAAAAATGGGATTCAGACACAGGTACTGTATTTGGAGATCCCAGGTATTTTGGGATTGATTCAGGGAAAAAAAAATCCAAAACAAATCAAATGGAAATTGTAAAGTGCAGAACTCGGTCGCAAACCAAGATCTGTCTCAACATCCGGTTTTTCAAGCTTTTTCCAACCACGACAGTTCACCTTTACATAAATGATTAACTCGACGTCAAAAAATGTACGTCACATTTCACATGAATGGAATCTAAACTACCTTGAATTCACGTGACACCAATGAAAGTGTGAACGACATTAATTTTTAAATCTCAAGTCGAAGAAATTCATGAAAAGTGCATGATCATTGCCCTTAAACCCCTAACAGTGCTTTCCAGGAAGTCACGCAGGGGATATCAGTACCATTAGCCTTAAAAAACAACCACACCTGACCAAAGTATTAAAAAAATATATATAATGAAAAATTTTTTTTACAAAATAAAAAATAAAAACAGAAATCCGGTCTTTATTCGAGTTCCACGCGCAACTTTTTCCTCAAAATTAGGAGGAAAAAACGGGGATGCGCGTCACAAAAATATGCAGATTGGAAACTTTAGACAGCAACGCTTTAAAATTAAAACAATTGAAAATTAATTAAATTTATTCTCATATTTGAATTCTGGAGGCTCTCATTTTTGGAATATTGCAGTTTTTCACTAACTAAAAAAGGAAGGATGACTCAGGAATATGATTTCATCAGAATTTCAGGGTTAAAAATTGGAACGCATGTCTTACTCAAATACTGTAACTCAATGTACATTAAACTTGAGCAAATATGATTACCCAACGTAACTTCATCTGCATTATTTTGGCTTCATCTAGACCTGAAGAATACAGGTGGACTCTCTACAAATAAATTCAAGGGACCAGAAAAATTGTTTGAAGGAGAATTTCGTTGTAGAGAACCCTATGAGTGGCCTATGGGACCAAAAAGAAAATTGTTCAACATGTGGAAACTCTTGACAGCATTCTTGTCCACGACGATTTTCATTGAAAAACAATATTTTTTTTGGTCCCATGGGTTCTCTCCCTCAATATTATAGGGGCTTGTCTACAACAAAATTCTCTCTACAAAGAAACTTTTATCTTATCCCCCGAATTTTTTGTAGAGAGAGTGTCCACCTGTACAGGTAATATCGTTGCAGAGAGAGGGAGTCCACTGGTAAAGTAGTAACAAAATGACGGCGACACCTATACAATGGCAAAGAAACTCACATCGTCAGAGGCATCAAGCATTAAAATGCAAACGAAAACCAAGCCCCCTGAATATTAATCGTATTCCCATAACACCTTATGCATCTCGTCCATTTTTAGGAAGAGAAAGAGAGACAGAGGGAAAAAAAATCCCCCGTACCTTTCACGGTATCGTACATATGCCATTTCCAGTCGTCTTCCTCCATGTTACCCAAAGCGGCATTGATGCCTCCTTGCGCGGCAACAGTGTGCGACCGAGTGGGAAATAGTTTCGTGATGACGGCCGTTTTGAAGCCCTCGGCAACGAGCCCGAAAGCTGCCCGCAACCCAGCTCCACCAGCCCCGACAACCACGGCATCGTAGGTATGGTCAACGACATTATAGTCCTTGGACAGTTGAGACGCAGTCGCTTCGTACTTCTTGCCAAAGTGGAGTTTGCGATTTCCAGCCACTGCCACTCGCCCCTGTAAAAAAATTTAAAAAATTATAAACGGGTCAATGTTTCACGGATGAACGCGCGCAGCAATATTGGATGGATGGATGGACTGAATGGGAAGCAGCTAAAGATCACACAAAAAAATTCCATGAAGTTTCGTTCGTAATCCCATGTTCCAAGCATTAAAAAAAAACCTGTGAACTCTCCCTACAGCGATTATGTCTACAACAATTTTCTCTTCTAGAATTTTTTTATGGCTTCCTAGGGTTTTCTCCCCATGCTGGAGTAGTTCTCAGCGATTCTTTCTGGACCCCTAAATTCTGTTGTAGAGAGTTCACGAGTATACCGCAAAACAAAACAAAAAACGTTCGGTGGTCTTGAAAATATTATTCAAAATTTAGTGCAACACAAAAAAAGGTTCTACCCTTGTCGCCTTTTTGCCAACCTCGCATTAAAAACATCTCAAAATTGAGAGAAACCATTTAAATGTATAATCATGCTTCAAGAGAAAATTCTTCAACCTTGATTAGGCTGGGTTTTTCAATAAATAAAAGGTGAGAAAAGGATGGTTGGGAAGATTTAAAAAAATGGAGAAAGGAAAGTCTGGGAAGGAGGAAGAAACTGGCGGTTTAACAATAGGGTGATCCAGTTTGAAGGGCTAACAATTTTGGCGGATAGCGAAGTAAAGGGGATTTGCCATCCCTTCAAGCTCCGGCAGATTTGTTAGGGATGAAATTTTGGCGGCAACCAAGTGTGGCGGTTTAACGGGGGTTGACTGTAGTACTGTAAATCATTCAAAATCATTTCAAATCCAACGTTTGATGTTCCCCACATCATGAGTTCAACAGCCAGCAAATATTCGTAGCCTCAACGTTCATTTAAATTGTTTTAAAAAAAATCATGTTTTACCTTAGTGAGCCTAGGATACATAGAGAGACAATTCACAACCTTCAACAGGGAACTGAAACATAAATCTCATGACCAAATTAATCGAATCAAATATTGTTTCAACGGGCCAGAAGGAAATCATAAATTCGCCATATTATATACGGCTAATGTAGTTGGGTTAGGAAAAGTTGGCTAGTCTACCGTATAGTCTGTTGGCCAACGCCCGGTTGTTTCTCTTTCTGTGAATACGGAATACCGTCAGTCTTCATCAGGGATCCAAAGGGGTTTTGGGCGTCAGTCTTTTTTCATCAACCGTGGAGGACGGTCACAAGATCTCCTCCACTGGAAAAATCCAAAACTTTTGTCGTGATTTCAAGGCTAGGGGTGATTTCAGGGAACCGATACGGTTTCCCCACATGCGCGCCTAGTTTTTTTTTCTTCTCTTGGTTCACAACCCAACTCATCACAGGATATTTTTTCTTCCCATCATCGAATTTTTTGAATTGTGAAATTCCAAAATTTTGAGAACAATTTTTTTCTCTCCCAGAGGTTTCTTAGTGAACCCATCATGTCACAATCACTTCGCGTCAATATGTTGTTTGTTGATGATGAAGATCAAGCCCTATCTCCTGCTCTGCAAGAGGATAGAGGTTGTGACGCGAACAGTCAGCCTGGTAGTGAAATGGCTACTCTTGAAGACGGTAATAACCAAGGGGAAACTCTGGTGCCAGCAGCTCAAAGCTTGGTTGATAACCACAGCAACAAATCTGCTGGTAAGTTTATCCCCATAATTCCTCTGGTGGTTTATAAAGGTTAGATGAGACCTTACCTTTTTTTGTATACCCAGAATTTTTTTCCTCTGTGGTTCTCATATTTTTTGGGAAAGTGAGAAGTGAGACCCTGAGATGCGGACATACTTGGTGCATAAAGAGTGTCACTAAGTCAAAATGTCCCGAAGTCAAGTATAATTTTCCCTTAGGCTTACATTATATAATTTTAATTGATGTTTTATGTACAAAATACTCACCATAATTCCATGAAAATAAAAAATTGTCTCCCAATTTTGTCCAGGGTGAACAATTACTGGATCTTAGCGACAAGGCCCTATTAGACACATTAACAAGTGTAACTGTCCAAGAAGCTACACTTCGTTCTGCTATCCAAGCAGCCACGGGATTCACTAATAATAATACATTGCCCCCCAGATCTGGACAGCGTGTTAATTCTGGTACTCGTCCTGGTGCTCAGATAATCCAACGTAATACTGGGCAAAATAATCGCGGTGCTTTCGGAAATGGTGGACGCCAATCAAGGGGTGAACACTCCTCAACATCTGGCCAGCAGTATTTTTTCGGCAACGACCGAAACATGAACAACAGAGACCGCGATTGCAGCGAGAACCGCAACAACCGGGGCTCTCAAAACAATTATTCCGGGCGATACAATGAACGTTGGAACAACTGAAGGATACCTCTTCCTAAAACACAGGTTAGTCTGCCCTTAGGGGGTCGACTTCGCCATTTTTTCCTGGAAACCGCCTTAAAAACAATTTACAGTTTTTACAAAAACATTTAAAAAAGGTCACACCCATCCAACCGAGAAAATTCGCACAAATACTTGGTTTTCTATCGAGCAGTATTCCAGCTATACATTTACGCCATGGGACACTTTCGTTTATTTGAACGAGCAAAGCAAAAAGCTCTTAAAGCAGGAACAAATTGGGATAATTTTTTCAACCTTTACTTTTTCCTGGAAGACGACCTAGACTGGTGGCTGGCCTTGTGCCCCATTCTCAGGCTCTCTTTTGACCGCCCTCCAATTTCTCACACCATCATTACTGATGCATCTACTCAAGGGGGGTGGGATGCTATTTGTGTGAAATCAAAGGTCGCAGGAACATATTCTGATGAAAGTCGCATTGAGCTCTTGGACTTGTCCTTCAGGCATTTCCCTTAGATTGGCATCAGGCAAATATTTGAGTTCAAATAGGTAACACAGTCGCAGTCAGCTATATGAATAATTTCGGGGGAAAAATAAGATCTCTTGATCAGGAAGCACGAATTTTACAGAGGTTTCTGCTCTGGAAAGTCACAAGGCCACAATTTTTGCGGTTTACATTCCTTCCTGAGACAATCCAGCAGATGCACTGACAAGAATCATCTCTTGGGAACAGGCAAAATATTTAGATGCTGAGTGGCAACTTGAACCTTCTATTTTTGTGATAATGTGACTTGTAAAAAAAAGGAATTTCTTTCCAGAAATAGATTGGTTTGCCACAAGTATCAACACACAAATCCCTTGTTTTGCCTCCAGATTTTTATGAATTACAAGCAACAGAAATTGATGTCTTTGATTCTTTCTGGGGAAAAAGGGATATATTTTTCCTTCTTTTTGCATTTTGCACAGGGTAATTACCAAGATCATCAAAGAGAGGTCCAACGTCATCCTCATCCATCCCAGATGGCCCTCTCAACCATGGTGGCCCTTATACTCACCCAACATTGTCAGGTCTTCATCAACTTACCCACTTTCATTTGATCAGATAGCTCAAATGACTGGTTGGACAGAACAGACAACTTTTGCTAATTATAAACGCACCATTGTTGAAAAGGGTGGAAATCTCATGGTACCAGGAAATGTTTGAATTTTGTGAAAAATTTTGTTGCCTATGTATACAGAGAATTTATGTTTGATATATGCTTGTATTGGATTGTATGTGTGTTTTGCTCTGAAAATTAAAATCACGTTATACCAACAGCTGAGTTTTCTTGGTTTGCCTGGTATGAATTTTTTTCTCCTGGTTGATCCAGGTCAGTTGCTCAAGCTGGTTCTAAAGATTCACAGAAAGAGAATCAATGGGGCACTCTTTATGTGAGTCCCACCCTCTAGCCTCCCTTTTCATCAACTCTGGTTGATGGACAGCTCTCACAATTGCGTCAGTTGGTTGCTAAACTCTGAAGCCCAAAACCCTTTGGATCCCTGATGAAGACAGACCGTATTCACATGAAGAGAACCAACTATGCTTGTACTAACATGTCCCAGTCTGACGCTACGCTGGACTGGGACTTTGTTCATTCATTCATATTAGAGAAACATCTACAGAAATTCCAGAAAGCATGGTCAGGCATTGAAGACCAGATGAACCCACACAGTTGCACCTTGTAAAATGAACATGATCAATTCGAACTACGTTTGTAAAACAATTCGTCTTCTGTACAAATTTTGTTCTGAATAGAAGGCAAGAAATTGCATCACAAACGCTTTTCCAACAGAATCTTCGTCGTGCAAGATGTCTCAATCTCATCGCATAAATTCAATGGATTAATACTCCAATCAAATACAACGCCTAAAAACTTACAGAAAATATATGGTCTACTTTAAAACTGAGGGAATGCGTGAGTAGGAAGACTACTCAATCACACCACAACTACGGTACTCCAGCACTTAACCTGAAGAATTTTGAAAAACCGCGATTTTCCAACTCCTTACTGTAAATTAATAATTGAATCTTGGCAGAATATGACATTAAAATACCCAAGGATAAATTAATGGAATTTCGTGAGAGGCTCTAACATTTTCCGAAAACTTCCAATTGATTTCCAGCACAGTGATTACATCGAATAAGGGAATAATACTCACTGAGAGTTGCACGTTCTTGAGAACGTGAGGCATAGCTTTGAGCACGGGAGTTGCCATACTGAACACGCGAAATTTACTACTCTGAAATCAACAGAAGCATGTTGTTAGCATTTGCGAATGTCCTCGCAACAAGACACTAGAAACCGGCACATAATTAAACGTCACGTGACGTTCGCACTGGAATAAAACCGCTGGACGTCACACAATTGGCACTCGTCCAAAATCACGACCCAATGCTCGAAAAAACGACAGGCTTCATACACTTCCCATCTGTACGAAACCGAGTTCATCGATACGCGTTTTATTAACCTGTAACAGGAAAGTTATTTCTTTACAGCCTGAAAAGCGAACAAAACAACTGCCAAGGACTAAAATTCCAAGCCACACCCACCTTCCAAAGTCTTTATTCAGCCTTGAAATAAGGAAACGGGATGTTTTCAGAATTCCAAAAAAATCTCGCGGACTTTTCGGATAATACACATTTCAACAGTAGGGGAGTCCTTTCAGGTTCCGGTTCAATTCGTCGAATTTATGAATTTGCCTGATGAAAAAGTCACCGTAACGACGAGAGACTTTCGTGTCTGCCACGTGAATCATATCTCCGTCGATATAAAAGTCAACCTGCAAAAATATCACGGTTAATCCTTGTAACAGCAAAAGTTATGCAAAGCATTCTAGTTCGAAAAAAAAAAAATCCTGAAGTATTCCTTGGAAAGCAAAAAGTTCCTATTTATAGATAAATGCATTACTGCACAAACTTTTTGAATTTGTGACCATTATAGCTAAAGCTTTGACAACCCAACTCACCGAAATTCGCAACAAAACTCATTCAAAACCCGATTAATGTGACCCGAAACGTAAGACACAGCTGGCTCAAAAATGTTTCAATAAATAAAATAAAATAATGCTCAAGATATACCTGGATTTGCTTCATAAATAAGATATACCTGGCATAACATCATGGCTGATCATACCAAACTCAAATCAGTTTCAAACTCAAAAAAAGTCGAAAATTAATCGTCAATTTAATTCAACAGTCGACTCATCTTAAACTTAGCATAATAATGTACCTTAATTAAGTTCTGAACGTCATAAAATATCGTAAATCTATTTCCTCTACATCAGCAAACCTTCGTACAGTATCTCGAATATGGATGAAACTACAGTATATGAACAAAGAAAAATTGCGGAAGGCAGTTTCAATAGCGATGAAACTCCGGAACCAGCAAAATAAAATGTAAAAGAATTAAAAAACTGAAATCTTGAAGCTGATTTTGACCATTCTCTTCAGTCTCACCTCCGAACCGGACTCAAATTCGCCATCCAATGCGGACACACATCCCTTCGTGGAAACCAAATTCCGCATCTTGTGCTTGAAACAGAGCAAATGCTCCTTCAAGGTTTCCACTTCCATCTCCAGAAAATTCGCAAGCTTCGAGATCGGCATAGTGGTATACAACTTCAAATAACTGCAAGGAGGAACACATTTATCATTTTTTGAAGACATTAAAAAATTCTCCCAGGCTTCCTGAATCACGGTTCACGACTTGGGTCATTTTGTCATGAGATCCCGGTAAAAGAAAAATAACCTCACTCACCTTCTAATCGTACCGATGTACAACTGCTGCTGAACCTCGTCGCTGAAAACCTTCAGCTGCAATTGTAACGGCTCCTTGTCGAAATTCACTTGCATTTCATCCGCAGACGGCGGCAAAGGCGACAAAAATTTGGGACATGCGAAGGAAAAGCTCACGTCGAATTCCTGCAAATCCCCGCGTTGCATTTTCGCCATTCGTTCCGAATGCGGCTTTTCCCGCAACACTTGCATCAGAGACTCATCAATGAGTTGAGGATGCAACGTCATACAAATAGACAACAGGATGTACATCTGCTCAGTTTGCTTGTTGATCTAAACCCGAAATGGAACCGTTAGAAATTCCCTCTCGAGACAAACAACAAAAATAGACAAATCTTCAGCCGTACCAAATCATTTTGATAATTCTTCGCCTGGAACATATTCCTTGTCCTTTGGATGTACAGTAGAATGTTCGAAAACGTCCGGATAGCGTCTGCATATCGTCGCATGATCATATAGGCAAAGCCGACATAGTAATAAGTCGTCACTTGACAAGCCGGAACGCGGTTGAAGATGTTCTAAGAGTAAACAAAAACTTGTGAAAGTTAATCCTCAAATACAGTAACTGTAAGAATACAGGCACTTGTTCCTGCTCTCAACCTGCGTTGTCATCAAATTTCATGATTTTCTTTGCTCTCTCTCTACACAGTTAAGTTCATTATGTCAGGTAATTTCCTAATGCGTCAGCCGAATCACCGCAAATCCCCGTCGGTGAACGAGATAGTTTTAAAGTAAAAAAAATCAAGTTTTTTCGATACACAGATTTTGGAGCCAGAATCTTTCAAACCACTGGTGGATCAACAGCAAGACTCAAAGCATGCTTATATTCATTGGAAATTCCTTTCATTTTTAGCACTGAATTCATGAAATGTCAGCGGATCAAGTGATATTTTTGACCAGGCTTTAAATTTAGCGTTACCGACGCGAAAATTGTCAAGAACGGGACACTTTTTTTTTCATCGCAAAAAGTTCGTGAGGTCTGGAAAATTGGCATTTGGGCTGCCTCTGAGTCTGTGAATCTCATTTCTTCGATGAATACGGGTGCAATTTAAACTTTTTGTCGTTTCCCCATTTCACACTCTTTGGAGAAAACATAAGAATTGTGGTAAGGGAATGATCAAATACTGAATTCCTCTCGAAACATGATAGTCAACCAACAAGACTTCAATAAGGGGAGCACATAAATTTACAAGACCTTCTCTTAACGTTGAAAAGAATCCAAAAAATTGTACCTTTTTATTGAACTGAATGTGATCCAGGACACGCAAAGCCTGGTAGAAGTCGCCCAACAAGGAATGCAACCTCAGCAGTCCAATCAGCGAGAAATAGCCCAACATCTTGTACAGAGAGTGGACTCCGAAAATACCCGCCACTTGCTCGGGATCCCTGCCATTCGCATAAGCCTCCAGCTGGTCATTGATGTTTGACTTTTCAATCAGCGAATGCAGCACGTTCAACACAGAATGCACGTTCCAAATATTTGGGCTCTTCTTGAGGGCATCCAATTCATCGTCACTTTTCTTGTTGAGTCTCGCGCGGAACTGGGCGTACGACTGGAACTGATAGATGAATTCGTCCACGATGTCCCAGAGCCACTGATTCGGCAATTCCAATGCGACTGGACGATCGGCGCCTGAAAAATTTCGGAAAACGCGTTACAAACTGCACATTAGGCACAGCATATTAAATTCAGGATGACAAGTTTGCGATGAATACGCAAAATGTCCCACCGAAGACCGGCATTGCTTCAAAAAATACATTTATCGAGAAGAAATGGTGCATTTTTAAAGTTGGATCGTGTACTGGATAGCTTCAAGAAATTTACTCGCATTACATCATGAACTGTTTCATAACAATAAGAAGTCTGTTCATTTATCTCATGCTTCAGTCACCAGACACTGTCCTGTAATTAACCAGCAACATTTCCAAAAAATTTCAAGATTCCAAGTCTCTTTCCATGGAATAAAAATGGGAGTAGGCACCGTCCAAACTCTCCAAAGTATTTTGACAACTTCAAGAATACAAGACGCAACCTATTTATTGCGTCAAATTTTGAAAAAGTAAAGAAGTGCGTCATGTCCTCGAGTGCATACAGTCATTAACCACGGAATGTAAAATTCAGAAGACGCGAACTTACTCAGAAACATATTGAACAAAGCGCAATAATTCCAATACGACTCAAAACGATGCTGAATCGTTAATGCAGTCGGCGCTCTGGCATAGATGTGCCGATAGAACAGCTCCTTGTATAGCGTCAGAAACAATTCGTCTTCTTCCACGAACATAGCTATATCCATGGCTTCCGGCCAAGGAGTGCTTTTGAAATATTCCTCAGTGAGTTGAGGATACAGATTCTCATAAATGTTTTGGATCTCAAAGCTGTCATTCCTCGTATACGCGGAGAAGAAATGCTGCACGAAGTTTTTCACCGCGTCTGGGACTTTGTAGTGGGAAGAATATTGACGGTCGAAGGTCTCATCGGCCCTCGAGTCCGAGTGCATCCGACTGAACTCGCTTCCGGCTCCACGTTGGTTGTATTCATACTAAGAATTTGAAAATCTCCATCAATGTAATTTTGTCAACGAAAAAAAGGAGAGGTAAACTCACGTCCCAATCTTCTTCGAACATGTTGAATTAAATTTTACACCACAGCACGACTGCGTGCGAATAATCAAAATTCTACAGCAACACAATGTTATGGCGCGTTCGATTTTCTGTTGCCTGCGGGGGAAAAATAACATGATTCAATTTTTAAAATATACTTTCAAAAACGTCAGATATTTTTGATTCACACGGAAATGTGCGCGAGTATAAGACGCAAAAGAGCATCTCAATATACAAGTTTTTAAATTCGAAATAAAGTACCTCCGCTCGAAAATTTAAGATGTGCTGTAATTTACTTCAACACAAAAACTGCTGTTCCGGGAGAAGCGACAAGTTCCCAAATTTTGAATATCCTCAAAAACGGATCATTGCAATGACGAATTTTCGTCATACTGTAGTAAAATAAACCTTTTATACGATACCACGTCATCTTCGGCACTTCTGTTCTAAAAGGAAAATACAGCACATTTTCCCCTTAGTAGGCGCCCTAATACTTCGGTGATACCGGGTAGGAGAAACTGCGTCTTATATTCGCGTGAATCAGTTATTCAAAATAATCCCATAAACATGAGCATATGTCCAACACTAGTTTGATTTCAGTTCTGCATAAGACAAAGAGCGAGACTCCAAACTGTAACTAGAGTGCGAAGATACCGTTAAAATGTCTTGCTGCGAAGTGAATCAGAAAAACACAGAATTTCACGCGTCCAAATTATGCAGTAGCTTTCATCTCTGGCTTGCTTTTCTCCTGAAGACCAGCAACGAGCAATTTAGCCTCTGCAATGGCATAGCCAGGGTTCAAGCCTTTCGGGCAGGTCTTCGTGCAGTTCATGATGGTGTGACACTTGTACAACTTGTACTTGTCCTTCAAGAAATCTGCGCGCTTTTCGAAAGCTTCATCACGACTGTCAATCATCCACCGGTAGGCCTGCATCAATACGGCAGGTCCCAGGTACCGATCACCATTCCACCAGTAAGCTGGGCAGGATGTGCTGCAACAAGCGCACAGAATGCACTCGTACAGGCCATCCAGCTTCTTCCGGTCTCCTTCACTCTAGAATTCAACACAAAATCGTTATGAGATGCTCTCTCTCAAACACTTAAATGATCAACGAATCTGTTCAGAATCCCTCCCCCCCTATTCTTTCGCCTCACAGCAGCCCACTGAATTCATTCGCACGCATATGACTTCCGAACAGTTCAGGGTTTGCAATGAGATCAGTAAAGCAATATCACTTACTTGCAAGTACTCCTTGGTTGAATCCATGGTTTTCAGGTCATCACGTTGCAACCACGGTTGAATGGATCTGTATTGCTCGTAAAAATTGGTCATGTCCGGAACCAAATCCTTGATGACGTACATGTGAGGCAACGGATAGATCTTGGTGGCAGCTTTCGAATCGATTTCGCAAATGCATGCCAAGGTGTTCGCCCCCGCAATGTTCATAGCACACGAACCGCAGATGCCTTCACGGCAAGAACGTCGGAAAGTCAGCGTGGGATCCATCTCATTCTTGATTTTGATAAGCGCATCGAGGACCATGGGACCGCAATCATTCAGGTCGACCTCGTAGTTCTGCATCTTGGGTTTATCACCCGGTTTGTCAGGATTCCATCGGTATATGGAAAAGGTTTTCATTCGCGGTGGCTGAGCCGCAGCAGCCGCAGTGGAAGAGCAGCGAAGAGATTGACCAAGCTGCGTCAGGATCAGACCCGCTTTCCCGCAACGGAAAGCCATTTCGAAGACAACACGTCAGATAGAGAATAACCTGCCGAGTAGTATACGAACTTTTCATCAAATATCGCTAGTCAACACATAACACTGCATGCCCTTCACGTCACATTCTACCAACGTTCAATCACAATTCCAAACTCAGCTGCTCCAGACGAACAAACCCATGAACACCGATGATTTCAACGCACAAGAAAGTATTCCAAGGTTAAGCACAGCTAGCATCACATTGGCATAAAACCTCGAGGAGCAGTTCCAGAAATTGACGTTCGCACTAAAACTCACGCAGGCTCACCTGACATGCGTGCATTTCTCGCAAAGTGTTACATAACAAGCACGCATAGAAACTAGAAAATCAGGACAACGAAAATACAGGACCGCTGAACATCAAATGCCGTTTAAACAATATCACCTAGGTGTCGCTAAAATGTGCAGTGTAGCGCTGTGTAAGAAACGAGGAAACAGTACTGTACCACACATTCGTTCAAAGGGAACAACTCCTTCGAACTTGTGTCCAGTACAGTACAGTAAAAGGAACATAGACGCGCCAGCTTCGCATATTTTCATCGCAAGCACACCTCATATAAGGAAAATACTCATGAATTCAGTACATTTCGCAAATAATACTTGACTAATTTTCTGGTCATCCAGCGCACAGCTTGTAGAATTTTGAGCAATCAACCTTAGCTGACATAATGTAACTCTATTCCTCACTTCACCAAAAAGGAATCTTATTGTACAGTGTTGGATGAATACATAGCACATACAGCAGTCATCAGCACTTGGCAAATTTCAAGTTTGTTCAGGAGCTTTCAAACAGCTTGAAATCCTCACTGAAATCACAATTTGCTTGATCATTGTCCGCAAAGTCAAGAATTTTACTGCTGCAGCAAGGCAGATTTTGGCAGTAGCAGCGTACTCAGAAAGATGCAACGCTGCACGCGAATAATTCCCATCTTGTGTTGTGAATTGATATGCGATCAAAGATAAAATCTATGTCAAACTACTTAGAAATTGCTAAGAAAACCAACGAAGTTATAAAAATAAGTTATTTAACATTGAAATTCACTTAAATCATACCGCGCAATTGAATTCAAATTGCTGGACACTGACATTTTCCTCGAATTTATTCCTAAAACAAAGTTTACGGGACTGCATTTTCCGTATTCGTGTGTTTCCTACTCAAAACGTAATTTTCCAGATTGTAAAGTTACTTTCAAGAAGTGAATAAGTATTAATAATTCATACAATCGTTTCCAACGTTTGCCGAATTCAACGGAAAATTTTCCGCTGCCCATTTTCCGCTGAAGAAAAGGTAAACTTTATTATTAGCTCTGAATTGCAGGAAAACCAGACCGAAATTCAAAACACTGCCTCACGAAATGTGAAAGTCGTACGTGATGCATGTAAAAGTTGCGGGGCGCAGAATAATAGAAAACATAGTGAGTCATGAAAGGAGCAACAGCAGTTTTTATATATTTCACCGGACGACATTGCAAACGATTCAGAATAGGTGCTGAACAATCATTACGGAGTTCATCAAAGATCCGTCGAAAGTTCCACGAACAAAAGTGAGATTTTCATTGCACAGCTTCTTCAGCGAAAGAAACCCGGGCGACAGATTTGGTATCCAAGTGGGACGTGTCACGCAGGAGCACACAATCGGCGCAAGCGCACAAAGCACCGCTGATCTCATCAATGGCTGCGCGAACCAGGAAGCGAGTTACACCAGTATTGCTAACTGGCGATGCCGCTGATCTTCCTTTGAAATCGCAACAGACAGAACTCTCCAAATAAACACACATTTGCCGAGCAAAGCCTCCGTGCGTGAACACGATGACGTTCGCTTCGGGCACATCATCGCCGCCATCTTCCCGCCCGTCACTCATTTCCAACCGATGCACGACTTCGCACGCTGAGTCAAACAGAGGAACCTTCAAGACCGTGCGACACACCCGACAGAAGAAGGAGGAAACGCGGGCCTTGAACTTTTGCAGCGTCTCTCCGTCCTGAGGGTCATAGTTGCACATCTTGACGTTGCGCTCTTTGGCCTTCTCTTTCAGCTCTGCCCAAGTCAGACCTTCCGCTTCACCGAAGTCCCGCTCTCTCAGACGCGAGTCCATTATAAGTTCTGCGCCCGTCGCGTGACGATTGGCGGCCATGACGAGCTCCGCAGTGTTTCTCGCGCGGGATAAATCACTCGAGATCCAATGAGTGTAGTGTTCTTCGGCAAGATGTTCGCCGAGTCTGCTGGCTTGACTCACTCCGACCACGGATAAAGGCGCGTCTGTTTGTCCCGCGACGATTCCGTCTTTGTTGGAATGCGTTTCGCCGTGACGTACGAGCGTCAAGTAGAATGACTTGATCGCGCCGTACTTCACAGCGTTCATACTTTTATTTCGAACCTGGTCGGAGAATATACGGAGAAGTCAGGACACTAGAAGGTATATACAGTACACTACAGCAGTTTCACGGATCGATGAGTCATAATGCAACGTTCATGGCGGAGTTATTTACCTTTTAATCCATTCCGAATTTCAATATTAGTTACAGTTCTGGAACACCATCGCGCGCACTTCGCAAACCATCACACACACACAGAAGAAGGAATTTCATAAATGGCTACAATAAATGCCACAGTTCCCGACAAATGTTGCCCTATGAGGAACACATCTTGTATAAAATGGAATAGCACGCAAAAATCTCACTGCAGAAAAACGCTGGTTCTCCCTGTCAATGGAACAAGGAGGGCTCATGGGCAGGCATTTTCTCGAATTGTTAGCTTTAAAATGTTTGGTCAAGACTCGTTTGGATCACGAATCACAGGAATCAGTGAACGAATCGAAAGAAATTCAGGTGCAATACATGTCAGCAAATTTGCTTCCATTTTTGACGCATTGAAGACAACTACATCTTGTAAGTAATGTCGTTCTGTCATTCAATTAATATCAAATATTCATTCAGAATTTTAGGAAGCGGCAATGTCCAATGTTAAACATGAAAATGTTTACTGTAGATAATTTGCGCTTTGTTTGGGCCAATAAATTGCGTCATGTGAAGTAATTTAGGGACATCAGTCATGTTCGTTAAGCGGATTTTCCGTTATGCGGGGACTCTCTCATGCATGGTCAATACGGAAAGGAAGATCATTTTATTAACTGCTGCTGAGACAATTGAGAGGAAAAGCAGGCTTAGTTTATCCTGTCTCAAACATTCACGGTTTAGAAACGAAAAATACGATTCGTCAACCTTTTCACGCAACCTAGGTTCCATCCAAACGTTCAATAATTTTACTCACATTGAAAGCAGACGATGTGTTCTACAATCATACTAGAGAAATTTTTCTTAGAAACCTAAAAAAAAAATGTCATACCGTACACATATACTCACAATATTCCGTCATCGCGATGTTCCGCAGAAGAGCTGCATTATTTTAGACAATTCAGTCCCCCGGGAAATAATGAATCACTATAATGGAATGCTCGTTCGCTACACACAGTCAAACAGATCCTTTGAGTCATCTCACAAAAACACTGCCCGAGATTTACTGGAATGCGTTTATTGGAAATCGATCCTCCTTATTCCTTTGGACGCTTCACTCCGGGTCGGGAGCATTTGTCGCGTAGCCCAAGCGTTGCAGGGCTTCTTTGATGGCTGGGTAAACTGACGGATCTTCAACGGTTCCGGGGATCTGCCAAAAAAATCTGGAGTTTATTTGAGCAATTCCCGGCAGTATCGTTCAAATTCAGATGAATTCAATAAAACGTTACGTTATCCTGTGAATTAAAGAATTGTTTACAACTCCAAGTGAAAAAACCGAAATTTTCATTTTGAAATACGCGATGAAGATTGTTGGCTGCATCAAGTTGATTTCTTATCTGAATTGCATCGGCACCCTGAGGAAACAGTTTTGGCAACGTTATGTGGAAACTGAGTATTTCTATTCATAAATTAACTTAGTATTTCTCTGTCACAATGGAGACAGTGAGGTATGCTTTCTTTCCCAGAAATCATTGCAACTTTTAATTCCTTCAGAAATTAAAATTGGAATGAAATTCCATTACCCCGAATCATTGTTACCGCGAGATTTTTTCTTGGTCCCAGAAGTTTCTCTGCAGGCGCCATGTTATTAAATTTTTGATTTAGTCAACTCATTCTAAAATTTTATCCCAGTTTTTAACAAATTGCTGCTCATGATTCTGTAGATGGGCCATAGAAATTATTTGATAACTGGCAGAAAAATCCGACTTGGGCAACAGTACAACCTCATCAAAAAAGGAAATGTCTCTCGAGAGAAAATTTAGCATTCAAGAAAATACACAGCATGGCCTATTTCTTGAAAATTTGTTAGCTCAAGGTCAGAATGCACAATGTTTTAACGAATGTTCCGCAATTTAAAATGTATGACTACAAAGGGCAAATTATTTTGGAAGGAAGTGTTTCTCCCGCATGTACTTCTATTTTATTGTACTGTACTTTCAAGATGATCAGCATATTAATACAAAAGCAGTTTCAATACAAGCAAAAAAGTACTGTATTTAAAACGTTTCCTCTTTAATTTAATCAGAAATTAGGACTTGGTCATTATGACGGGTCTTAAACAATTCATTGATAAGCCAATTATTCACTGTACAGTGTTAAGTACCCACAAAATTTCTACCTAAAATGTTTTGAAAACCGTGAGTCTGACTACTGCATTAATTTTTTTTTTTAACGCCAAGTTTTTCCTCAGGTTCCCATGTTTGTTGTACAGTCAAACCCCATTAAGACACTCCCCCCATGAAGTGCCATCCTTGGCAACTGCCAAAATTTTGAATGAAACAAATCACCTCCACGTAAAATTCTATAGAAATCCTTGATAAGACGCCAACGGCCATCTGCCAGCATTAATGATGGAACAAAAGTGATGTTTCCTATTAGTTTTTTCTTTGTTACAATGCCAACATTGGGGTAGAATTATAATTTCTGTCAAGGATCTTTTATTTGTAAGAATAGAAAAATAATGGTCATTTTTTTGAAAATTTTGAACAATATATTGACCTAATCTTAAAATTTGAATAAAATGATGCAGCACATTTTATTTTCTGAAAGAATAATCCATTGATCACAGCAATACTCATTGGGAAATTACTGAAGTTTCTATACAAAACCTGTATGTCTATGACTTTTGGAGACAGATTGAGTATTTTTGATCAAATAATTTAAAATTAAATATTTGATAAACCTCCAATCCCTTTAAACCGCCAAAATTGCTCTGGACAAATGATGGCGTCTTACTGGGGTTTGACTGTAAATACTGTACATTTCATTTTACTGTACATATTCTTCATGAGGTTGAGCATTGATTTTCTCATTGCATGAAGTTTATCCTCAACTAAAATCAGTTCTCATTGGAGTGGAAACAAAAATAAATAAAATAATAATTAACAACCCCAGATCACTCAGTCAATAGACTTCATGGGGGTCTGGAAGCAGTTTGCCATTTCAGGACCGTCGCATAATTCGGAAAATACGACAGGAACAGAACAATGAAGTGATTCGAATCAATTCAACTTTCACGCACCACAACTTGTTTGGACCTAGCCAGATCGGACAGGGTTTTCCTCGGGGTTTTCCCCGATCGGGTCCTGGGCAACGCCGGCACCTGAGCCGCCAACCGGAAAGCCGCCACAGGCCCGATAATCTGGCGCACCACTTCCCTCAACTCAAGCACAATCTGCTCCTCGGACCTCGTCGACTCTAATTACGCCATCGAAAAATAAGGAGAAGGAAAAAAAAAAAAAAAAGACCAAGAATCGAACCCTTCGAAGGTACTGTACTCAAATTTCTCCGGAATAAAATTTAAAATAAACTATACTCTACAGCACTTACGGGCATTTCCGACGAACAGGGCCAGCGGAACTTCGCCCTTCAGATCGTCAGGGACGCCGATGACGGCACAATCGATGACGTCGTTGTGCTCCAAAACGGCTTCTTCGATGGCGGACGTCGAGAGGCGGTGGCCGGCGACGTTGATGACGTCGTCGTCGCGTGACATGACGCACACGTAACCATGCTCGTCCTTGAAACCGGCGTCCATTGTGTCATAGAATCCCTTCAATATTCGAAGAACATTGACAAAGCCATCATGGATACTCAACTTAAAATAAAAAATATATATAAACAGAAATCCCAGGAAAACCATCCACCGAGTTAGACAGGAGACATTTTTGAAAAATTATACTGTATATAGTAACTGACAATGACAGGCTCCATTCTTCTTCTCTCTCCAATTTTGAAAAAAAAAGTGCGTGGCGCTTGAGTAAGTACAGTACTCTACTTGGTATATGAAAATTAAGGTACGCTAATTTCCTCAAACCACTCACATCATCAGTCAAGCATCATTTATATATGATGCCGCCGTGGAAAATGAAAGACGTGTATTCCCAGCACCATAACCGAGTTCCAGTTCCACCACCAAGCCAACATAAATTTTTTTTTTTGTTCAAATGAAACTTACAGGATATTCACTGAAATACGTTTTGACAAATCGATCAGGAGATTCATACAAGGTCGTCATGTTGCCGGGCGGCAGAGGTGATTTGATGACGATCCTCCCCA